GATAAAAAGTTTGATAGCAGCTTTATTGGAATTTTTTGTTATGTTTTATTTTACATTTTCTTTTAATTATTTTTCAAACACTAGCATCTTCAAGATATCACTTTCAACCCCCATCCACCAGAAGCACTGTGCATTTTCTGTTTTTCCACATTAGGAGTAGTGTTGGTTTTTATGTCTTTAAACATTATGTAATTATATTATTTTATGCAATGTCATTTTTTTTTCATATATTGGGATTTTCATTATGTGAATTTGAACTCTCACATATGGTCCAGAAACTATAATCTTATTGACTGTGTTGTTCTGTTGTACATTTTGTGAAAATTTTATCTTTCAGTGAAAGTTTCACATACTGGCATTTTCAGTATAGAACTTATAACTCCCAAGGGCATGTAACAGTTCACTTTTATTGATACTACCTGTTGTGCAATATTTGCAACTTGACATTACAGTTAAAGGGATAATAACTGTTCTTTTTTGGCAAATAATTTTTTTCTAAAAAGTTTTTTTTGTTAAAATCTCTTAAGAAATTATAACAAAGTATAGCCACCTATGTAGGTCACATGGTCTGATGACAAGTTCAGATATCAGAATAATAGCTGTGACTGCCCTTTTTGTGGTAAAACAAAATATATTATATTTCTGTGAGTTGTTAACACTGTTAAAACTCAAGTTGGATGATTCATATCATGGTTATGCAGCTAGACTGAATGGCAGCTTTAGTGGAATATTTTTGTAATTTTTTCTTTAATTTTAATTTTTCAAACTGGCATTTTCAAAATGTGACTTATCACTCCCATCCACCAGGAGCCCTGTACTGTTACTTTGTAACATTTTCTGTATTTTTTTAACTTACAAGTATGATTATATATATATATATATATATATATATATATATATATATATATAATTTTTTTTAAATTGAGTTTAAGCAATGAGTTTAAGAAATTTTCACTTTATCTCATTCTGGCATTTCCAAAGTTTAACTCTTATCAGCCTGAAGCCTTAGGGACTATTTCCAGACCCTATCACGCTAACTGTGGATCGATATATATCTCCAAGGGAATTCTCGCTAAATTGCAATCATTGTAGCTGGCATGCCAGAATCCTAAGCTGCTTAAACTGAAAGCAATTTAGTGAGAAACCCCTTGGAGTTGGATTGATCCTGTTAGATTGATCTAGGTATGAGAACTCAGTCTAATGCTTATTACACATTTTACTTTCATCCTAATCCAATGTTATGCAGAATTGGAATTTGATGTTGGCTATGCAGTTACAGTAAGCATAATACATTAATGCATCAAAATTGACAGTATCCTATTTCCTGCGTTTTTATTTTCTGGTTTTTGTCTGTACATTTGACAGCTTTGCTGCCTTGTTATATATTTACTATAATGGGTGTATTTCTAGGTACAGTTCATGTGTTGATACAGAGTTTGTAATTGATAATTTTGATAGAAAATTACTTCGACGCATTGCACGGATGAACCTATACCGTGGACAGGCCGTCGTTATTCAGTTGTTGGCCTACTACATGTTTTATTGTGTTGATATATAGCCACCTGAAGGAAATTGCAGTAGAAGTAAACAATTAATACTTGCTATACATCTTACATGAACAACTATAAGATATGAATATTTCTAAAGATTATGTTTGAATTTGCAGTTTGTTCTTAACAGTGTATATTTATTATACTTTAAATAATGTTTATTAAAGTAATGTACTTAATATTGTATGTGACAAAGTCTGGGATCATGATATCCTGCTCGTTCATCTTGGAGTGTTTGCCCTTGTAGACCATTAGATTGAGGAAATTGAAACTGAATATCTGAATGTTAATTTAGTAGGCACATCAACAGAGACATGTGCATGTACGTGTCCTGTTTTGGAATTTTACTGTGACTGGGAGGTGGGCTGCTCCTGGGAGTTGATGATTCCAATTTTTGGCATCAATATGTTTAGACTCGCATCGGGGCCGTAGGGATAGTCCGAAGGTTCAATAGTCCGAAGGTTCATTGGTCCGAATGTTCACTATAGAACCTTCGGACCAATGAACCCTTGATTAAAAAATCGATGAAAATGTTACCACTTTTCGGACCAATGAACCTTCGGACTATCGAGACGCCCCCCCCTCGCATCAAGGAAGATTTTTTGTTTTATATTTATAATCAATAGTCAAGATCCATCCTGTGTATACTTGGAGTTGTGGTCCTTGGCCATTGTTGCACGGAGATTTGCTTTTGTTTTGATTATTATTGTATACGAAGTATATTATAGGTAAGTGAATTTTTATAAATATTACTATACATTTTATCTATAATAAAAGGAACAACAACACTAGGACTGACACTATGATCCTTGGGGTGGTGCTGTCCTTGGCAGGTGGATACATACTTTTTTTTAACAAAAATTGTCACATTATTTTTTTAATAATCATGCATGAAGGCAGATTTCTGCCTTTTCATTTTCATTTGTGTATAGATTAGGTATGTTTGTTGTCTTTTATTGTCTGGACAATTTTGGTCACAATTTTTGATGAATATTTGTAATTTTTTGTTGGGTGATTGGGTTTGCTAAGGAAGAAGCAGCGCGTAATAATGGTCAGACTCAGATATATGCCTTCACAGTAATTGCTGTAATAACTTAAACATCACGAACAAATAATTTATCCCCCCCCCCCCATTTTTTTCCATAACAAATTTCATAAAATTAGTTTTGTTTTCTTTTTCCATAAAGGATGAGGTGCTGATAAGAGGGTAAAAGTGCTCACCTTTGTACATGAAAAATAAATTGTGAATCTGAATTTTTTTTAATTTTGAAATATCAAAAATTAATGCAAAATATGGATGAGAAGTGGAGTCTAAATACAGTTAGTATAATCTATTTCTATTCTCATTTCTAAGGATTAGTAAAGGTAAAATGTTCTTCAGATATCCAAATTTATATTAGTTATGTTAACAGCAGGCATACATTGTGGTGGCCCCTCCTTTATATATTTATCCCATATATTGCACATAGGGTGGGCTTGACCCACCCCAGTCCTAATGGGGATTGAAGTACATATTCTACAACTAAAATTGTTGTGTAAATACCCCCTTTTACATCTATTTAGCATGAAAAGTAAAATAAAGGCTCTATCACACACACACACCCTAGTTTTGTTATATGTACTTGTGACTTAAACTTCAACACCAGCACTATTTGTAATAGCACTGTATTTTTTTTAGGCCAAAATGCTCTGAATGGCTTCTGGTGTCAAGGAGATCAGTGAAAACCTATTGGCTTGGTAAATAGTGGAGACCACTAGCATCTGCTAGGTGTCCAGTTTGAAATCGGCATATGCAAAGATGCACCTGATTGAATCAGAGCCAAAATACAGTCAAGGCACACATCTAGCCACCAGTACAGCCCATGGATTCAGACCTCCAGTAGCAAAAACTAGACCTATCAGTGGCTGGTACTGTCAGTGTAAAGTAGGTTTCTAGACAGTTGGAAGTTGTGCATAAATCACTTCAGTCCTGAGGTATATGGGGTTTGCCAAAAGGCAGTGAGACAATTGAAAATTAAGTTGCGGAGAAGGTTGTTTAGATGCCTCATATTTACCAACATCAAGTGGTGACAGAATTAGTGAGAATGAAAGTGTTTTGGACAGCACATCCTATTGATTTTCCAATGTTTCTTATACATTTTTTTTATTCTCTTATTTGTATATTTTGTATAATGTAACTATTGCAGTGTGTTATTTACAAGGTCAATATCATATATACTCATATGAAGTACTTTTTTTGATGAATTAATTTCACTGTCATACAGATTATTAGCTAACTGCTACGTTGTATACATAGTTTCCATTCAGTTTTTACTTTTACCTTATCAATATTTTCGGAGAATTGATATCTTATTCATTTAATGGTTATTGGAAACATTCCATATAGATATTTAGAAAGCTTTTACAAATGATTTTTTTTTTTTTGTTACTGTAACATCCTTTTGCTTTCAGCATTTATTATTATTCTTTATAGAGCCTTTTACAAAATGTATATTGGTCATCAATACAATTATTCAGACCAACAAATGCTGGTCTAGGAGTTACATAAAATGAATAAATATGCTAAAACTAATTGTCTTAGTTACAAGACTTTTATTTTATTTATTCTCACCTTACAGTAATAAGTCTTGTACATTAAAAATAAGTGCCAATATAGTAGATGCCTGGGATCCCTGCAAGTGGATGATTATCATTTTTTTCATTAAATCAATACACTTAAGTAGCATGCACTAATTAAAATCAAATGTTTTAATAAAATTTTAAGTTTTTATTTCAGTCTCAGTTTGCATCGAAAAGTATTTTAAAAAACTATATCAGATTTCAGTACTATCATATAAATATATATAAATTGCATTATGTTATGGGTTAAGAAAACTTTAAACCAGCAATACAGATGCAATTTTCAGCTAACCTTGTACAGAAATGCACATTGGGCATGTAAACTGGGTTTTACGAAGTGTTTTTTTTAGAACATTTGACTTTAGCACAAATGGTATGTAGCCAACTTTGGCAAGTGCTACACTGTATCCATCGATGGTATCCTTTATTTTGGCAGAATGCTATGTCACAGGCTCCATCCTTTGACTTTCTTCCACTCTTTCTAATTTTCTGTCTAACATATTCCCTAAACCACTCGCAGTGTGCACTGTCGACACTGTTCAGTCCAGCTCCTTTAAGGATAGCTACTGCATTCTGTAAATAAGAGTGAAAAAAGTGTAAGACAGTTAAAAATTCCTTTATACCTGAAAAAGGTTTTTCAAAGCTTGGAGTTGCTGTTAATTTAACCAGTAATTAAGTAAATAAAGCTACTATTTCGAGGTATACATTAAAACAAGGCAGCAAAGCTGTCAAATGTACAGACAAAAAAACAGGAAATAACTATGCACAAAATAGGCTACTGTCAATTCTGATGCAAAAGCTAGTACATTATGCTAAACTGCAAATTCAACATCAAATTNTATTATCATCAACATCACCATCATCCTCCTCCTCATCATTATTATTATACCTATTCAGTGCTGCTGCTATCTGGTCATTGATGTCTGTATATGGTACATGGTATTGTCTGTCATCTCTTCCTCCTCCTCCTCCACTGCCATATGTATAGGAACCTGGGACATCAGGGTGCTGGGGGTGGCCAGGATTGCCTAAATATGATCACTTATAACTTATATTATTATCCAGATGTGTGTGTGTGTGTGTGTGTGTGTGTGTGTGTGTGTGTCCGCATGTGCATGCGTGTGTGTGTTCATCGGCTTTGATTTATCTTTTTGTTAGTGCACCATATATCTCAAAAAGTTCTCCTCTAATATTCATGAAATTCCTGAATTTCTGTTAAACCTTTCAGTAGTTGCTTTTTTGCCTTTCATGGAGTGCTCTCTTATATTATATATATATCATGTTACACTTAAAATAATCATTTCATGTATAATATCACCACTATATCAAACCATAACTGAGACAGTGGCTAACATGTCTGTCAAAATTTGCAGTTCTATATGTTATTCTAGAAAAACCCAAGTCCCACATCATTAAAGGTTAATTTTTTATTAAAAATGCCTTACTTCTACAATATGCACATTCCGAAAAACCTACTTATAACAGCATGAAATATAACAAAATAACCACAGAAAATTAAATCCTGTGTGACTTCAAATTATTTTTATTTGTGTGTGTGTGTGTGTGTGTGTGTGTGTGTGTGTGTGTGTGTGTTATGACATACCTCTATTACTACTGACACTCCCACCACTCCCCCTCCTGCTATGCCTCCGACTCCCTCTTTCACTTGGTGTAGGCGTTTCTCCGCCTCCTCTTGCACTTAATGCATCCAGAGGCTCTAACTGATTGTCAACTTCATCCTCCCCTCCCCTGTGATTTAACTGACCAACAAAATCCAAGCTTCCATTATTTTCGAGGCTGTTTCCAGGCAACACTGTCCTTTGAGGCTGGTGATTGGAATGTGTGTGATTATCAGTGGGGCCATTTTTACCCAACAACATGTCTGCCTGTCCTGACACTATAGGAGACATGGGCAGTGGCTGAAAGTCAGTGTCAAAACCATTAAGTTTTTCTCGGAGAGGAGAAGAGGAAACCAACGGCCTTCTGGCATTGTGACTTTTTTTGCTTGCAATCTTTGCCTGTGGAAATAAATGTGTGATCATCAGAAAAAAAATGTTAAATATCACATGTCATCCAGTAGTTTCAACTGGTAGTTTGCCTCTTGGTTGTTTTGTTTTAATTTGAAGTTTCTAAAAGTCAGATGCTGTTGCTTTTTTTTTTTTTTTGCAGTCAATAATGTTTTGTTTATGAAATAATCATCAACTGAGCAGATAGATAGATAGATATATCAATGAATAAAATTGCTCATTATTTGTTTATCTCCTACATACCAAAGTTTCCAGATCTGGCTGATCTGATGTATCACAGTACACCTCACCCTCACTGTCTGTATCTGACTTGTAGCTGGGAGGCAGGTGTTCTGTAATGGAAGTATATTTAAAATCAACAGAGTGAAACTCCAAGTAGTACAGCAATGGTGACATTTTATGTGTATAATGTATATGTAGAGAGAGAGAGAGAATGTAATTTTAGAAATGCCTTTTGTTTTGTGCCCATGTGTGTGTGTGTGTGTGTGTGTGTGTGTGAGAGAGAGAGAGAGAGAGAGAGAGAGAGAGAGAGAGAGAGAGAGAGAAAAAAAATGCAGATTATACAAATGACATCAGATATCCAACAGGATAAAATGATGCAAAAAATTTACTCACCATTTTCATTTTGGTCTATTTTTGGCACTTTCACCACATCAGCCTCTTCTTCTTCTACAATATCTCCATTGTCTTCTCCACCTCCACTATTTCCAATGACAGAATCTGAAGTAAACAACAACATTTGAACGTTATGCCATCATTGCAATATAATCACTGCAAATTGTTCAGAAGAGGAGATAACTTTATCTCAAAATTACCAGCTTGATTCTAAGTAAATTTATTTTGTCATTTCTTTCTTATCAAAATGAGTGGCAGCTTTATATGCCAAACACTTCCAAATAAAATAAATTAAATCTTTTGGTGATGCCACTTGGATCCAAACCAGTCACAGTACAGGCACTGTGTATGTTTGCATTCATCCCTACAAGCACCCTACCTGCACTAGCATCACTGCCTGATGAGGGTTCGGACTCCCCGACCACATCCCCATCCATAGCTTGGGTGCGTTTCTGGACACTGCGTAGCTTCTCTGCATGTGCTGGAAGCTGCTCATCTACTAACTCATAGAAATTTCCCAGGGTATCCAGAAATCCTGTGACATTATCAGTCTGTGGCATGGCTTCTATTATCTAAGAATAAATAATAAATGTTGACCATGAAACTAAGTAAGGAGATAAAAGTATCATGAATAAATTGGAAAATATGCAACAGACTTTCATTTAGATAATAGTATATGGAGAATTAAAGAGTATTATACCATGGCAGGCATCAGTGTGACCCATATACACACAAACTACACTTGGGATTTTTGTTTTCAACATCCACTTTGGTAGAAGAATAGCATTGCTTGCTGATCTGATATGTATCACATGGCATGGTTAAATTGAGCAGACAAGTTGGTAAAGGTTACATTTCTATTTTTATCAATATGTGATATTGCCTGTCATGATCTACAAAAAACATGATAAACTATCATTATAATAACACGCTACATGGGACATGGATAACAAAAATGGTTAAAAACAATAGGAGCATTCAAGCTACAAGCTACCCCAACCATGACCTACACCTGAGTAAATACACATCCTATACGTATTCCAATCCCACTGTGCCTCCATCAGAGAGTCTTGAGGGACACCATGGTTTAAGATTTTGTCTCCACAGACTTTCCAAGGTCTACTATCACAGCTATAGGCAAGTATCAAATGAACATGAAAGATCACAAGTAAAATCCAATGGTGCTCCCCAGTTTGTTTCCAATGCTCAGTGTAACAAGTTTCCAAAAAACTTTTTTTTTCTAGACAAGATTTCCTTAAAGAAACAAGGTCCCTTTCTTTGGTGCCTTAGTGGAGGGCCAGTGGGTGTGGAGAAGAGGTGAAATCTCAATTCATATAGAATATGAGTGACACATTTCCATCTAATGACTTGATGGACTATGGGCCTGTTCAGATCCAAATTGACCTCTGGACAAACTGATCCATGGATCAAATATTGCAGACCCACCTGAAAGCTTTTCATGTAATCCCATAATGGACTCCCCGCTGGGATTAGGCTGCAAGCTTCTAAGTGGGTTGGCCCTATTTGAACCACTGATCAATTAGTACGTGGATCAACTTGGTTCTGAACATGCCCTATCACAGCAATCTTTTGGGATGACGTTGCCTTTGGAGGTAGAAGGATCATTTCATATCTGGATGCCTCGGTAGAGGGACAGTGTGAGTAGAGGTAAGATGACCTCTATCTATTGACTAGTACACTACCCTTACCTCATCTTCACTCATGGCTTCCCAGGGACTAGATTGCTGAAGCATTATCTGTAACACACAACAAATACAGGGTCCCAGTCTAGCAGCATTTGTATGATTTTGTAGTTCCTCAATAATTAAGAACATCAAATTTATACCCCCTCCCACTTCAAAAAAGGAGCATTGATAGTAATACCTGTTTTAAAAGTTGATTGGCATTTGGGTTGAAACCACATTTTGAGTGTCTTAAAAATGATCAATATTAAAGTAAAAAAATAAAAAAAACTGAGGCCTATGAAAATTTTAAGAAATATTTTTTTTTATTTTTGCTGTTGTTCATAATATCAAATCACCTTTAATTAATATGAAATTAATACAAATAGATACACAATCAGTGATTGCATTTTTGTAAGTCTGCCATAAAAATGACATGATAGCACTTAGTTTTGCTTACTCACAGAATAAATAAGGGCTGAACTTAATGACTGAGTGTCACCCTTACTTTGGGCACAAATGTGGTTAGTGTTTTGAAATGGATATCATACAAATGCAGGAAGCAGTGGCCAGATGTCCTTGGAAGGAATAGATATTCTATACTTCTGTTACCATCACTGAATCTCTCTCTCTCTCATCATGTATTGTATTCTTCATGATTAACAAATATGAACATTTATAATCAACAAATATATTTGGATTTCGTTTTGTACAGAAAATAGCAGCAAAAAATCTTAAATAAGAAATTCATTAAGAGAACCACTCAATTCCAAAGGAAAAATGCAGGTGCTCTTAAACTGATAATCCTAAACCTTCCACTGACATCTATTACATCTAAAAACCATGAGCAAAGCAACAAAAAGGAAAGAGGAGAAAAATAAAAAAAAGGCAATGTTCATAACACTTCTAATTTTCTGATAAAGAGACTACATGTAGATGACCTCACACTGGAAATCAACAAAGTTATTAAGAGAGAAATATTTACCCTTTTCAGTTCCTCAACATATCTGAGCATGGCTTCCTCTTTGGACAGGTCTCCCAGCCCATTCCAGGCATCCCTACAGCACAGAAAATTATCATATATAAATATATTATAATAAAGATATATACAATAAGCCTGCAATCTTCATATGGTAAAATCTTAGTTTTCAACACTTATCTCTTACTCAACAAGGTATACTCTATACAAAATGGTTTTCACAAGTATGATCCATAAACTCCTTTTCAGGTTCAAGTTTCTAATTCTTGGATCTCTAGTGTATTGGAGATAGACACTTTTACTGGTGCCAGTAGTAGCAGTTGGATTTACACTTTTAGTGCTATCAAACCACAGAAATCAGTACTGTACATCAGGCACATTTCGAACATTTGCTGATTTAATAATTATTTTCTTTTTTCAGATTATCATTATCATTATAAAATTTGTCTAACAATTTTCATATTTACCATTTTGCTTTCTTGACCACCTCCCAAAAGGCTGGTCTTGGATGAGTGCATTTTCCTAATGTGGCTTGCTTGTAATAGGCATAGAACTTCAACATCAACTCATGGGATGGTTGGAATGATCCTGATACATTAGATAATGATTAATTTTATAAAATGAACACCATTTCTTGTTTCACTGTCTAATAAATTCATTTAATGAAATTAAAGTTGTGTTTGCTGCTTAAAAGGTTGATCTGTTTTAGTTAACACTCAGCAAAAAAGAACGCATTTCAATTAAATTTAGCAAAAAAAAAAAAAAAAAAACAATTTTCCATTGACATACCAGCTCCCCCCACCAACACGGTGTCTCCCCCCACCCCAAACCCGCCTCTGAGTGTTGGCTCCACACTGAACTGGATTTTTAAATCTTAACCCCCTACTCCCAATATGATCTTCAATATGTAATCGCTAAGAAAGATAAAAATGGGCAACGTGCTTCTTAACAACGATATTATGCTCAACAAGTGAACTTTGGTCTTTAGCCGGTGTGACGGGAATGGTAGTCCGCTAGGCATTGTAGTCCGTCCCGCATTACTTTGTACAGGTGGCATTCGTCCCACATACTAACCAAATACTCCGACTAACCCTTGCCTGTACTAATCATATGGGAGCCCGAACTTCCATTCCTAGGGCCACCATGATAATCGCACCGTTAAAGGAACTAACACCCCTTGACCCCCCCCCCCCCCCCCCTGCATTGGACACCGTTGCGAACACGACGTGCTCATTTGTCAGTGATTGTGAGAAAGTGGGGGGCTTTCTTAGCATTATATATAACGAAATTTGTATCATAATATCCATGTATTCTTAACCAGTAATCTTAGCACTCTACTCACCTTCTTTAGGTAGATTTTGGATTACTTTTACAGCTGCCTCGAATTTTTCCTTTGCAGAGGTAGCCATTTTTGTTTACAATCTCGTTATGATATCGAGGTCACAAGGTCGGTGTCTTTGGTGGGAGGGATGCGTTTTGTTGTGATACAAAACACGTATTGACAAAGCAGTTTGTACAAACTTATGTGTCTTTTTCTTTATAAAAATCAAAAGAGACTTTAAGGCAGATTGGTTTTAAGGTATATGAAAAACTTAGGGCTGAAAATGCTGTGAATATCAACTCGGCTAAGTTTGTTGTTTGAAATTAAAAATATTCGTCTGCTAGCTAGTGCTAAAGCACGCTTGTTACTTTGTGAAGCTTTGTAAAATTATCTTTGATTTTGCTTCCTTATCCTCTCTTGGCAATGACGTCGATGCATACGTTAATTAGTTAATTCGTTTATTGTACATGTGTTATGAAATAGCGATAGATGACAGTCAGTATAGGTTCTTCCAAATGTGGCTTGGAAACAATTTAAAGAGTAAAACGATTAATTCCACATATAGACACACAAGAGTGACTGCATGCCAAAGTAGAGGCGAGAAGCTCTGAATGTGAATTGACAGCAGTGCATCAAGTTGTGCCAAACAAGACATTTCCCCCCTATTTAGATGCTGTACCACCGTACATATACATAGCAGATCCGAGTACTTGACGCAGCTCTGATGTCTGTGAAGACTGACCAGCAGTGGCCTGTTATCATTCACACCTCTCTGGAAAATACTGAGATAGGGAGGCTGCTTAAACAACAGCATAAAGTCAGAGGTAACTGTGATATACTGTGCAGTTTCAAATTTCACTTCCACTTTTAAGGGACACTTAATTTAAATTTAAATTCATAGAATACTTTTTATGTTTTTGCACAGTCATGTCTTTTTAATTTAGGTTTTATAACTCTCAAAAAACAAAAGAAAAACAATTTCAAATTCCTTTTATTGGTTAAACAAATCATAATTAAGTAAATTGTTCAAAATTTTACTAATCAGCATATGCTCCAAATTCTATTCAATTTTATATTGTGGGAGTACTCTAGCTGGCTCTACTTTGGGAGTACTGCTGCAATATATTCTGGTCTGCAAGGGTTTTTTAGGTGCCTTGATTTATGTGGTCATATTCTCATGCATGCTTTACTTGGGTTTTAAATTTTAAACAAATTGAAGCTTTTTGTGTTACAGTTTCAGGCACTGTGGTTCAGAATAGCTGCATATTTCCCAAGTCTGGGATTGCATTCCTGATAGTGCCCCTACAGGAGGCTGTCACTGTGTGGCCTATACAGGAAAAGGTACACTTAGACCCAGAACTCACACAAAGGTGAGTGTATTGTTACCTTTACATTATTAAACAAATGAACTGCCAGTATTACATCAAACAACCAACCAATTAATAAACCATCCAAATGAACAACCAGTCAATCAACCAATGATCAATTAATCAAATAATCAATCAGTGATATAAATCAATCAGGCTTTTTTCCTGTTTTTTTTTTTTTTTTTTTTATTTTATTTCATATCTGTTTATTAAGGAATACAGAAGTTCTTTTGGGATGGGTTCATCTGTGAAATCATTTGAATAACATTTTAAATTACCTCGAGAAAGCACAATTAATGCCTGATTAAAGTAATAATTGCATCATTATAAATGAAATACCTTCTTCTCCTTATCAAGCAAAAAAATCAGTTCAAAATTACACATATCTATTTTTTTTTTTCAGATTAGAAAAGTTCCTCCAAGTGCATGCTTATTGTTATGTAATTGCCACAGCTCCACTGCATGGCAAGGAAGAGCTGGCTGTGTTTTCTGTTTTACAGCAAAGGTAAGTCATTGCAGTAGGTATGTTGTGATTGTGGTAGTTGTGGTGTGGTGTGATTGTGGTAGGTGTACTGAGGTTGATATAGGTGTACTTTAAAATGTGCTATAGCGGGTTTGCTGCCTGTCTAGAGGGTGAGTTTTGATTTAGGAAAAAGAGATGAGATTGCAAAAAGTGCATTTTGATTTTAAAAGCTGGAAAATAAATAGTTATTATATAAGCTGTGGCCTTATTGTGTTAAGTGTGCTGTAAGAGAGGTAAATCTGTTGCGATTGTGTTAGCTGTACTGTGTTAATTAGTTTTGCTTTCATATTCAGTGATAAATATGACAGTAATCATTACATAATTGGATATTGTGTACTGTGGTTTATCAAAAAGCATATGTTCTGTATTTAAAATCAGATTTATACAATATCAGCCTTTTTATTTAGTTTTCAGTATGTCTATTTTTTATCTTAAAGATGCTGTTATAGAATTTGTCTTCTTGTACCAGGTTTTTTGGCCAACTTCATATGATCCCAGCCCACAGTGCAGAGGAATGTGTCCAAAACATGCTCATATTGGCAAAGGTGGGTTTTATAAAGGGTGGGCATGGATTCTGGCACTATCTCCCTGAACATTTGACCATGGGGGAGTTTCCTGTGGAAGAATTGTTCTGAGACCATGAATATGATGTAATTTTTATACATGTTTCTGTATAGCATGCTTGTTTGTATGATATGGTAATATATGTGTCCATCTCAAAATAAGATCTTAATGATGAAATGATATTTTGATGTCAGGTGTTTTTTTTTTTTTTTCTAGCTGACTTGCCAAGCAAAATTGAATGAAACTTGAGTGATTTATCCAGATTTTGATATTAGGACAACAAATGCTCAGAAAGTTAAAACTTTTACAACAAAGAAATATCAATATTTTACACATGAGGGTCTATTTTTATCATTTCCTCCAGATGACCTGTCCTCCTGTGTCTGACCTTCTGCCTAAGAGACTCCAAAAAATGTCTGCCACCCAGCTGGACGTAGAAGAAATGGTGTTGGACCAAATGGTAGCTAACCAGATACTGAATCGACAAGATATCCTTAATGAAAATAGGCCGACTTATAATGTGTAGATTAGTCATGTAGTCATATTTGAACATGAAAAATTTTTAATTCATTTTTCAGGAGGGAAGAACACTTTCATTAACTATAATAAACTGTAAATTGTGTAAGTCTAAAAACATTGTATTATCATACATATAAGCTGATAGATTTAGATACATTACGTGTGCAATGGCAAATCTTGGAAGGCAGTGGGCCCATTTTAAATTTAAACATAATTGTACGTTGGATGTGCGGCACATTGAGGTTTTTACTAAATATATATGCCAAAGAAGATTTTACAATTATTATTATTATTATTTTTTTTAAAGCCTTGACCCGTTGGACAGTGTTTATTAGTGCTGGACACCATGGGCAGTGTTGGGGCCATTGTAGGGGCCAGTAGAGACCAGTTACTGGACTGTGGTCTGGGGAAACAGGCTGTGGACAGAATGATTAAGTTCTTTGACAAGGACTTTTGTCTGTAAGAAAAAAATTCAGTATGTTGACAGAAAGTTAGATTTTGTGTGGATGTATAGTATACTTTTTTATTTTGAGTTTGTTTGTTTGTTTGTTTGAAGACTGTTTGAGGAAGCTACCAGTACTCTGCTGACTTGATGACATTTGAGACCCAGATAGAAAGGAAAATAATTGAGTCTACTTGTCATGGCATTGATGAATAGATTGGTTGTGGCTTCCAGTTTCAAAATCTTACAATAGATGACATTGCCTGAGTCGAAGCCACGTGCTTTATTACTTGGCTCCTTTAAAACTGTATATGCCTGTCCCATCCATCTGCTGCCACCGAAGAAAGACTAATTTTCACAAGATATCTCTGTTTAGCCAGTAAAAATCTTCAGTTTACTGAGAAACTAGATCAATAACTCTTACTATTAAAAGGAAGAAGTTATAAATCTGATGCATCTTTGCTAAAACCAAAATTAATCTCATGTGGCCTGGGATTTCTAGAAACCAATGGCTGCTTTCATCTCCGTGATGTCAATGTTTGGGTCTCCTGGTGATCCAAGACGATCTCCGTCGAGAAATTCTACCCAGTATCCATCTGGGTCCTCTATGAAAGCATAGCCCTGGCCACCTAGAATAAGACAAATTGAAGGAAATATCAGAACAGGCGGCACTGCTGCAGATGTGTTTCTTGTGTGTTAATTTTGTGTCAGTTTTGTGTACGAGCAGCAATTTGAACACTTCCAGATGTACATGCCTGTTGTAAAGCATTTATAAGTACTTAACAAAAAATAAAAATAAAAAAGTTTTAAAAATCTCACGATCCGATCCTCCCCCTTTTTTTTTCATTTTCTAATCATCCTTCATCGATAAAGTATTTAGTGACATTACGATTTATTTTGACAAAACTTCTTTACCAGATTCCTTGATAACACGAACTCCTAAGTTGGCTACACGTTTTATTTCGGCATCTGCATCTTGAACAGCCACGCATATGTGAGCTTTAACAAAAAAAAAATATATATATATATAATAAAACGATTATATTTACTGTCTCAAGAGAAAATGTGATATTGGTGTGAACTGTATGTTTACAGATCATTTACTTATCATTATTTTGATTGCTGGGTGATTTGCAGACAAACCATATATAGGTTAAGAAATTATTATATAATAAATGAAATATGCATTTACGATTGTACTTTATAAGAAAAGAAAAGATAAACTTTTATCAGATATTAATTTGATATTGGCTGGTTGACAATGAATAATCAATAAATGAAAATTAACGTACAGTAACCCTTTGGCGCCTTGTTTCCATCATGAAGCTTTAGGTCGGGNAAAAAAAAAAAAAAAAACGATTATATTTACTGTCTCAAGAGAAAATGTGATATTGGTGTGAACTGTATGTTTACAGATCATTTATTTATCATTGATTGCTGGATGATTTGCAGACAACCCATATATAGGTTAAGAAATTATTATATAATAAATGAAATATGCATTTACGATTGTACTTTATAAGAAAAGAAAAGATAAACTTTTATCAGATATTAATTTTATATTGGCTGGTTGACAATGAATAATCAATAAATGAAAATTAACGTACAGTATCCCTTTGGCGCCTTGTTTCCATCATGAAGCTTTAGGTCGGACATGTTTTCCGTTCCCCAATTGCTGAAAGACAGAGTGCATGTAATTAAGAATGTACCTTTTCCCGTCTATATAGACCCTGCATAATTCAGTAAAACTGTCCTCGTCTAGCTACAGATTTATACTTGTCGAGCAATTTCAACAGAAATTTTTTATCCGACATTGTAGATTTTAAGTCATGTTCAAAACGAAAGAAAATTCGTTTTAGAAATAACAATAGAACTAAACCTTTAGCTTGTGAATTTTGTTTCGTGTCGCCTTATCGTGAACTGTATTTTTTCAAATTTACGTGCAAAGCAGGCGTAAAAGAATTTCAGTAATTTGAGGAAAATTAATTTTTAATTATCAATTTTCAAACCTACTGGAGAAACTCGATCACTGGTGTGTGTTGTTTCCTGTGGAGAAGAAACTCCATCCGTTCTTTGAAGTCAGAGGGCACGGTCTCCCCCTCTTCTGTGTACCCCATAAAGTACATTGTGGTCTTGAGGTTCTCTAGGGGCAAAGTCGCTATTAGTTTCATGCCCAAGACTCGAGAGTAAAAATCTACTGTCACGCGAGGGTCTTTGATACGGTAGCACGTATGATGAAATGAATAAGTCTAAAAGAAAAAAGTGAAAAAAAAAAAAAACGACTGTCACAACAACAATAATAAGTAATGATTATAATAATTCTATAATATGTTAATTATCAAGATTCTTTCTATGGCAGAAACTAGACTAATTATTTTCGGGTTCAATATTTTTCCTTTTATAAAATATTTAAAGTATTAGTATATTTTTTTTTCATGTCAACGCATAATGGTAATTTTTATTTCAAGGTAACGCTAAGCGCCCTACGTACCATGCGACAGAAACGGCGCAATGTGTTGAGGCACCCGTTTGTACGGTGTACATAACCTCAAAGGGAAATAAAATATTTCTTTATTGACCCCACCTTCAATAATTGCCAACCTCGCTCAATTATCCATCTCAGTATTTTAACAATTTATCGCGTCGCTCGGTTGTCAAGGTGTTCCTGCTCGAGCAACACAGGGTGACTCCCGCTCTCGCCACCAACCAACCAATTATTGAACCGAGCAAATAATTCCTTCCTTTCCTCTCATATAGCAACTATAAAATATTAGTTCGGCAGCGTTTAATATCTTGCCTGTTTTCTGAGAGAAATAGTGAAGATTTTAATAATTATTATTTTTTAATCTTAAAAGTCAACCCGACATCTTATTTCTGTTTTCCTCTATTTTGTACGCGGGGAATGGTTATACCTTCACCACGTTCACATTTATCACGTGCATATATGTGTCATGTGAAACCTTATAAGACCTCTTGACCTACTTTTTATTATTATTATCGCAAATACGAATACAAACATGTATATATCTGGCGAAATTACCGGTGTTACAGGCACAAAAATGCCAACACACACACACACACACACACACACACACACACACACACACACACATGGAAACTACTGTTGCTGTAGACACCAATTTGCCGTCCCCATCCCCTCCTCACACACACAGGGACACATGAGGTCAGGACTAGGGTCTGGGCATGATTTTCTCTTACACCTGAGATACACTAATTAATGATAATATTAATATGAAACGTAGACTGAGTTTCACCTTCGTCTCCGGTGGAGGTGGCTTCACCCACCGCTCCACCTCTTCGAAAGGGATAGGCTTAGCATCCATCGGTAGCTTATGTCGGACCAGCTGAGTTCTCGAGGAATGTCTGGGGCATTAGTTTTTGCCGGGTGACTGGGCTTTACACCTGGGCCCCGTAACTCGAGTTATGGAATCGAGACGCTTGCGCTCGGTCGCAATGTGCGATGCTTTCGAGTTACGGGGTGGGGGGGGGGGGGGGGGGGGGGGTCTGAAACGAGGAAAATGAGCAACGGTGTCTTTATTACCTTTGGNATATATATATAATAAAACGATTATATTTACTGTCTCAAGAGAAAATGTGATATTGGTGTGAACTGTATGTTTACAGATCATTTACTTATCATTATTTTGATTGCTGGGTGATTTGCAGACAAACCATATATAGGTTAAGAAATTATTATATAATAAATGAAATATGCATTTACGATTGTACTTTATAAGAAAAGAAAAGATAAACTTTTATCAGATATTAATTTGATATTGGCTGGTTGACAATGAATAATCAATAAATGAAAATTAACGTACAGTAACCCTTTGGCGCCTTGTTTCCATCATGAAGCTTTAGGTCGGGCATGTTTTCTGTTCCCCAGTTGCTGAAAGATAGTGCATGTAATTAATAATGTACCTTTTTCCGTCTACATACACACTGCATATTTCAGTAAAACTGTCCTCGTCTAGCTACAGATTTATACTTGTCGAGCAATCTCAACAGAAATTCTTTATCCGACATTGTAGATTTTAAGTCATGTTCAAAACGAAAGAAAATTCGTTTTAGAAATAACAATAGAACTAAACCTTTAGCTGGTGAATTTTGTTTCGTGTCTCCTTATCGTGAACTGTATTTTTTCAAATTTACGTGCAAAGCAGGCGTAAAAGAATTTCAGTAATTTGAGGAAAATTAATTTTAAATTATCAATTTTCAAACCTACTGGAGAAACTCGATCACTGGCGTGTGTTTTTTCCTGTGGAGAAGAAACTCCATCCGTTCTTTGAAGTCAGAGGGCACCTTCTCCCCCTCTTCTGTGTACCCCATAAAATACATTGTGGTCTTGAGGTTCTCTAGGGGCAAAGTCGCTATTAGTTTCATGCCCAAGACTCTAGAGTAAAAATCTACTGTCACGCGAGGGTCTTTGATACGGTAGCACGTATGATGAAATGAATAAGTCTAAAAGAAAAAAGTGAAAAAAAAAAAACGACTGTCACAACAACAATAATAAGTAATGATTATAATAATTCTATAATATGTTAATTATCAAGATTCTTTCTATGGCAGAAACTAGACTAATTATTTTCGGGTTCAATATTTTTTTTTTTATAAAATATTTAAAGTATTTGTATTTTTTTTCATGTCAACGCATAATGGTAATTTTTATTTCAAGGTAACGCTAAGCGCCCTACGTACCATGCGACAGAAACGGCGCAATGTGTTGAGGCACCCGTTTGTACGGTGTACATAACCTCAAAGGGAAATAAAATATTTCTTTATTGACCCCACCTTCAATAATTGCCAACCTCTCTCAAGTATCCATCTCAGTATTTTAACAATTTATCGCGTCGCTCGGTTGTCAAGGTGTTCCTGCTCGAGCAACACAGGGTGACTCCCGCTCTCGCCACCAACCAACCAATTATTGAACCGAGCAAATAATTCCTTCCTTTCCTCTCATATAGCAACTATAAAATATTATATCGGCAGCGTTTAATATCTTGCCTGTTTTCTGAGAGAAATAGTGAAGATTTTAATTATTATTATTTTTTAATCTTAAAAGTCAACCCGACATCTTATTTCTGTTTTCCTCTATTTTGTAAGCGGGGAATGGTTGTACCTTCACCACGTTCACATTTATCACGTGCATATATGTGTCATGTGAAACCTTATAAGACCTCTTGACCTACTTTTTATTATTATCGCAAATACGAATACAAACATGTATATATCTGGCGAAATTACCGGTGTTACAGGCACAAAAATGCCAACACACACACACACACACACACACACACACACACATGAAAACTACTGTTGCTGTAGACACCAATATGCCGTCCCCACCCCCTCCTCACACACACAGGGACACATGAGGTCAGGACTAGGGTCTGGGCATGATTTTCTCTTACACCTGAGATACACTAATTAATGATAATATTAATATGAAACGTAGACTGAGTTTCACCTTCGTCTCCGGTGGAGGTGGCTTCACACACCGCTCCACCTCTTCGAAAGGGATAGGCTTAGCATCCATCGGTAGCTTGTGTCGGAGCTGAGTTCTCGAGGAATGTCTGGGGCATTAGTTTTTGCCGGGTGACTGGGCTTTACACCTGGGCCCCGTAACTCGAGTTATGGAATCGAGACGCTTGCGCTCGGTCGCAATGTGCGATGCTTTCGAGTTACGGGGTGGGGGTGGGGGGGTCTGAAACGAGGAAAATGAGCAACGGTGTCTTTATTACCTTTAGGGGTATGGCGACCTATTACTTTTGATGTCATGTTTATGTGAGGATTTAGGTCGATGCTGGCTACGTTTATCAAAGTGTGTTGCTGTCGCAATTCAAGGTCAAATGCTGAGCTGAATATAAATATGACCTACCATCGTGTCATTTCAGAAAAAAAGGTCTGTTTGTTTGTACACACTCCCCGCTTTTAAGTTTCTAAACTGTCTAAATAGTCGTAGGGCGTGAATCATTTTCGGCTTGCAACGACCGGATTCCTTATGCAGACGACGAGATGTGCAGTTCTTGCACGGAGAAGTGGAGAAATCGATTGTTTTTTTATTGGTTATTTTAACCTAGTTTTTAACGTCATAGAAATTATAAATGCTTTGCAAGAGACAAGAGATTCAAATAGGTGTGAGAAATTGTTCCAAACTGGAAGCTAGGAAGTGTTTGATGCTTTTACGTTGGACGTAACCATTATGATCAAGTCAAGTGTAAGAGTAAGTAACCGAGAAATACGTACGACATTATTTTCCGCAATCATGGATTTTAAACAACGAATTCAAACGAATACAGCTGTCAAGTTCTTTATTTTTAGATGCCATCGTCTTCCCATCAATTAAGTATGAATCGAGATTTTTTGATGGCGTGTTGGGGGGGGGGGGGTAGGGATCGCCTTCTTTTTGCGTTCAAATATCGCCCTCAAAGCCACTAAAACAAATACATGAACGTACATTTTAACATGAAAGTATCAGTCATTGAAATTTTTAATATATTTTACAAATACCATTAATTCAGGGGCGGATCCAGAGATATTTTCTGATAGTCTTCCAAATTATCTTTGTTGATCCATCCACCATTTTTGACCGTCTTCCGACAGAAAAAATTAGATACCAGTCAATGTTAACTTGGAAATCTGACCGTCTTCCGGAAGACCCAGAAGACAGCCTAAATCCGCCCCTGTAAATTGCCACAGAAAAACACACCACAACAGAATTTAAAAGCCACATTAATGGTACAAACAAGACGCATCTCTAAAGGAAATAGTATGTATTAACCCGGTATTCCTGTTATGGAGATCAGCCCGGTGTTTCTCCAGCAAGGATGTTGTTGCTGTATATACTGCGTATAAATATGTAAATCCTGGTTTAACTACCAATCTATAACGGTGAGTTTTGTGTGGACAAACCCAAAATGTGCCCGTCTACTGGAATAGTGTGTGCCGTATTGTTATTTATGATTGCAAATGGAGAGGTGAGTTGATATTTTTACAGGGTGAATTTTCTGGAACAGATTGCATAAAAAATACAGGTATTTGAAAAAGCGTGGTCTACATTAATGTTTATTAATATGAAACAAGTTTTCGAAAATTCCTTAACTGCACAGTGCGCACAATGTATCAAAGTATGTGAAAAAAAGAATAAGGACCCGATCAAATGCATACAGTCGGACATTGGTAACAAACCAAAATACTCTCGTCTGAAACGGGTAGTAGACGATATTTGAAGTGAAAACCTAAACAGCCTTAAGAAAGTATTACAGTTTTCTTATCTTGTACTGAGATATTCAGCTTGTAAATTCTTTTCCAGTTCCAATATGTCTAGATTAGGTTTGGAAATTTTGCGGATCTTGTAGAAACCCGTTCCCGATTTGTGCAGCAGTTTGTCTGCTGCCTACTTGTCATGGCATTGATGAATACATGTAGATTGGTTTTGGCTTTCAGTTTAAAATTCTTACAATAGATGTCATTTCCCGAGTCGAAGCCACTTTATTACTTGGCTCCTTTAAAACTGTATATTCCTGTCCGATGCATCTGCTGCCCCGAAGAAAGACTATTTTTCACAAGATATCTCTGTTTGGCCACTAAATCCCAAGTTTACTGAGAAACTAGATCAATAACTCTGACCATTAAAAGGAAGAAATCATAAATCTGATGCATTTTGCTGAAACCAGAATTAATCTCATGTGGCCTGGGATTCCTAGAAAGCAATGGCTGCGTTCAGCTCCGTGACGTCAATGTTTGGGTCTCCTGGCGATCCTAGACGATCTCCCTCGAGGAATTCTACCCAGTATCCATCTGGGTCCTCTATAAAAGCAATGCCCTGACCACCTAGAATATGACCACACATCACTGTTTCAGATGGTTTCTTGTGTAATAATTTTGTGTAATATTTTAAGTGCATATCGTGTAACAGGAGCAATTTGAACACTTGTAGATGGACATGCCTTAAAGGAATAGGTTTGTACTGTGTAAAAAAGAAAATAGAAAGTTAAAAAAACCACACGATCCTACCCTTCTACTTTATTATTATTATTATTATTATTATTATTATTATTATTGTATTTTATAATTATCTCCCCACCTTCAATGATAAAGTATAATGGTTAAATTACGATTAATTTCAACCAAAGCTGCTTACCAGCTTCTTTGATAATGCGGACTCCTAAATTGGCTACACGTTTTGTTTCAGCATCCGCATCTTGAACAGCCACACATATGTGAGCTGTAGCAAAGAGAATCGAATAGAATAATATGATTATATTTATCGTCTCAACCAAAATATGGTGTTCAACTGTTGGTGTAAAAAGTATGTTTATAGATCATTTGTTTTTTTATTATTTTTATTGCTTCATTTGCAGACAAGATATATGTAGGTATAGAAATTAAGTGACATATGTATATATAATTGTATTTCAAGACAAACCGTATGTAGGTTTAGAAATTAAGTGACATATGTATATAGAATTGTATTTCAAGACAAGCTGTATGTAGGTTTAGAAATTAAGTGAAATGTGCATATTATATAATTGTATTTTGTAAGAAAAGAACAGTAGGAAAAACTTTTATCAGATATAAATGTTACAATGGTTGGTTGACATCGAATAATCAATAAATGAAAATTAACGTACAGTATCCCTTTGGCGCCTTGTTTCCATCATGAAACTTTAGGTCGGGCATGTTTTCCGTTCCCCAGTTGCTGAAAGACAGTGCATGTAATTAAGAATGTACCTTTTCCCGCCTATATATACCCTGCATATTTCACTAAAACTGTCCTTGTCTAACTACAGATTTATACTTGTCGAGCAATTTTAGCAAAAGTTCTGTATTCGACATTGTAGATTTTAAGTTATGTTCAAAACGAAAGAAAGCCATTTCATAACAAAAGAAGTAAACCTTTAGTAAGTGAATTTTGCTTCATGTCGCCTTATTGTGAGCTGTATTTTTTCAAATTTACGTGCAAAGAATTTCAGTAATATGAGGAAAATTAATTTTAAATTATCAATTTTCAAACCTACTGGAGAAACTCGAGCACTGGCGTGTGCTGTTTTCTGTGGAAAAGAAACTGCATCCGTTCTTTGAGGTCAGACGGCACGGTCTCCCCCTCTTCTGTGTACCCCATAAAGTACATTGTGGTCTTGAGGTTCTCTAGGGGAAAGGTCGCTATTAGTTTCATGCCCAAGACTCTAGAGTAAAAATCTACTGTCACACGAGGGTCTCTGATACGGTAGCATGTATGATGAAATGAATGAGTCTAAAAGAAAAAAGTAGAAAAAAAAACGACTGTCACAACAACAACAACAACAATAATAAATGAAGATTCTTTCTAAGGCGGAAACTATTTTCGAATTATTTTCGGGTTCAATATTTTTCCTTTTTAGTATTTAAAGTATGTGTACAGTGTTTTTGGGATTCATGTCAACGCATAAAGGTAATTTTTATGTCACGGTAATTCTAAGCGCCCAACGCACCGTGCTACAGAAACGGCGAAATGTGTTGCGGCACGCGTTTGTATGGTGTTCATAATCTCAAAGGGAAATAAAATATTCTATTGGCAGCTTTTAATATTTTGCCTGTTTTCTGAGAGAAATAGTGAAGATTAATTTTATTATTATTTATTATCTTAAAAGTCAACCTGACATCTTATTTCCTTTTTCTTCATTTTT